TTATGTCATCACATGTTACATGTGTGCGTTATGTTACTCTATATTCATTTCTATAAAATTAATAAATTATTTGTATGCTGTTATGTGTAAATACATATGTGATGTAAGTGTCAGAAATTTTATCGCAAGACTCCTTTACAGGAGAGTGTTTAGGACTGTTTTGAGCTACAGAAGTTCAGTGTTAAACTGTCCTTTCGGTATGATGATGCACTGGAAAAAAAAAAGGTTCACAGCTTAGAGGTGGAGGTGGAATGTTTTTATTGGCCACTGTTGTCCATTGCACTAAATACTAAAAAAAAAAAAAAAAAAAAAAAACAACTCGTGTGGGTTCCTGGATTATTGCTGTATGTCCTCTTATTCCCCTTAATGTGTTCCACTGCTCTTGCTCATCCCCATGTAAGAATACCACTGGGTTACATTTTTATTGTTGCCTTGTCACTTTCAAGAGATTTAATATCTGTTAATTTGGGGTGCCATACAACTAGTGAAGATCCTAGGGAAGGTCTGCTCAAAAAATTACTTGACGCTCTCAGCTGCTGAAGGAGAAAAGTGAACCACATTTGAACAAGACTGCAGATGTTGTTTTAAGAGGAAAACAGTGCCTTGGTTCTGTAATGAAAGTTTTTTCCAAAGGAATGTATTGTAGGCTTTGAAAGTACTGCACTTCTTACTGTTCTGTATTATTTAAATTTTGGCAAGAGCTTAGAAGCTAATGTGCATGCACTGATTTTTGTAATTTTTTAGATCACTGCAAGGATAATGAGAAATATAAATAACTTAGCCTCCTGTTATATTAAGTATGTAGACATCATCAACTGTAATTTAGAATTGTTTTTAGATTAAATCATTTTTACAAATAGTTATTTAATTTAGCAAGTTTGTCCTTGGGTTCAATAAAGTCATCTGTCATTTATATCAGAACTGCTGCTTTTGGAAAAGGAAACATTTAACAACATTCAGTGAATCCTGAGAGTCTGTCAGCTTTTCTATTACATTCTTCAGCATGGCTTTTATTTAACAAAACACTGAAGCCATAGCTACCTTGTAGTCATCTCTTTCAGGTGTTCCTCAGTATTTGGAACCCTAACTGTAGAGCATCTTTACTTAGATTGTAAATAATCAGGTGGAATTAGCCCAGTGCCTTTGCAGTAGCATGGATTAGTTCTTTGAGTAAGAGGTTTTTTGTTTTCATTTTTGATTTTTGTAGACTACCCCAAGTTAATCTATTAAGAGAAGTACCTTGCTAAATAAGAGATAGGGATAAGGTTGCTCTGGAAAGTGAAAAGGGAATTTACCTGTTCCTCTTCAAAAGCAATCTGTTTTGTATTTTGCTAAGACAGGTGCATTTTTGAAGTGAATGACATGCACAGTAGAAGATGATTACTTTTGATTAATAACCTTGGCATTAATGAAAGAAAAAGCAGCTCAACTTCTTCTGAACAAAAGAAAAAAAGCAGTGAGACATTTTGTCCAGTTTTTTTTTTTTTTAAACATTCCAAAATCTTAGGTTCCAGTCATTTCTCTAATGACTTTTAAATACGTATCAAGATTTTTCTTGTTTCGCTGGTATGCCATGACCTGAATGGTAACTGGGTTTGTTTGCTAGAACTTAGAGTCAAGGAATTGTAAAAGAAATGTTATTCATTATTTTGGTGTTGTAAACATTGCTTCTAAAGACATTATTTTCTCATCTTATTGTCTTATGTAGGCATGGAGCAATTCCATAATGACCATTGGAGAAATACCTGATGAATCAAATTTATGCATCTGAAAACATTATGATCAATTACTTCTGTTGGAGAAGTAACTGGTTTACCTTTAGTCTTATCTGTAGTCATGTCTGAACAAACGTTTTCAAGTTTTGCTCATCTCTGCTTTCAGAATCAGTTGTTCGAGTTTCAGGAAAGATTTGCTTTTTTTTCTAAAGAGAGGCAAATTTCACATTTATCCTATAAACAGCTTTGAAAATATTCTGACATTTGTGTTTTTTTTTCTAATTGTCTTGCTCATTCTGCTGTAGGAGTTCTATTTTCCTGGCTGTATTGCTTTGACTGATGATATCATGGTCTAAACCTCTCTTTCACACTTGTTCCTTGGAGAAAGTACTGAAAGGGATGGGAGGAGGGTAGTCTCAGCCTTTCATCTTTATTTTTTTGTTGTCAGTATTTCCAGTTTGGAAGTTTAGCACATTGGATGTAATTATTTCATATTAGCATAGTAGCTACATAGGTTACCCCTGAAGTAGAATTTTATTCTGTTCAATTTCTATGCTACTTTCAGTTCTGAAATGTCTGCTTGAAGTATATTAAGCGCTTTGATTACCATTGATCATGTCTATCTTGAAATGAAGTTTACGTGAAGATCTTCCATGCTTTAATGTTATGCCTGTTTATTGTCTTTTCATGGACTAGATTAAAGCATGTCTTGTAGCTGAAACAGAGTGAGTTTGAGATGTTATTTTAATCTGCAAGGATAGCATCTCAAGTTTGAATTAACACTGGGAAGAGCTCTGATTCTTGCCCTTTTTCATAGAATGATTTGAGATGGGAGGGACCTTTAAAAATCGTCTAGTCCAACACCTCTGCAATGAACAGGGCTGGGGATTTTTGTGTCTGAGAGGTTGCTCTTAGGCAAAACTGAATGATGGTAACTTATAGAGGTAGATTCAATGTGCTGTGGGAGAAAAAATTCTCCCTGAAGGTGTGTGTTTGGCCCAGTCTGCTTTCTCTCATGAGAAGCTTAGAAGCAAGAATTCACAGCTGAGTAAAGAAGGAAGGAAAGAAAGTATGCGCATACTCAATCCCATCTGTATCCAAAGTTACCGTGAGCCCATCTGAATCCCTCTGGCATCATCTTTGTCTTTGCCCTTAGCTCTCCCCAATACTCTCTCTGACAATTTGTCCGATCTTCATGTCGAAATCTATTACTCTATTTCTAAAATTAGGAGAGCAAAGCACAATTTTGGATCTATGGTAAGGAACTTTCAGCAAACTCAAATTGTTGGCATTTGGGGTTGGTCTGGTACGAGCTGTCCTCCATAGTTGCTCGCTCTTCTGAGAAGCAGGTTAGCCAGTGTGGCTCATTCAGTAAATAGAAAGCAAATAGTTTCTCTTGTACTGGAAGAGAGACAATCCTCTTTGTACAGAAGGATTCCCTGCAGCAAAGATTAAAAAGTAAGATTTCTTTTGGTTTTAAGTAGACATTTTTCTCCGTCCTCTGCAGTGAAGATTGTAGAAAAATACTCCCATGAATAGGAGTAAAGAAAAACAAAGAGACATGGCCTAACAAAGCACAAACTTACCACAAGCTCATGTGTTAGATGCTGCTAAAGGACAAGATATGAAGACTGTTTCATAACTTGAGTGTTCCTGGAGCCATAACTGCTAGGACACATGTGGTTTGTTTGTAATGAGGGAACACATTGGAATCATTTCAGGAAACGCTCATAATTGAGCTATTAATAAACAGAAATTACAGTCTAATTGGGCTAGATGTCTTCATAGCAACAGTCCTCCCCTCAGATAAGTCAACAGACTCAAAATGCCCTAATGCAGTATCAGTGCTGTATGAGTCAAACTTCAGTGTGGGGAGGCAGCTCCAAAAAAATTCTCAAGTTAAAAAAAAAAAAATAGAATCAAAGTAGTGATTTAGGTTGTAATGTTTTCAGTATGGCCTGGAGTTCTAAAAAGTTTCGTTGCAGAGAGTGCACTGATCTGTGGAAACACCTTTCTGAGCCCCAGTACCTTATCATATTGTCACCTCCAGTCTCCAAACACTCTTAACTGTGTTTGAAGGTGCCTGCACACTGCTTTGTTTAGACTTGCTGATTTGTGAAAAACTTAAAGCCTCTGTTTTGCTAGATTTACCTAGATTTGCCTGTGTTACCAGATAAGCTTGTAAAAAAATGTAGAACAAAGACACAATAGGGATTACCAAGGTAAATTTCTAATTATGTCTGGAAAAGAAGTTACAAAAGATGATGAAACCCAGTCCTTGGTTGCTGGCAGCTCAGTGACCATGGTGTAAAGCTAGATGTTTTGCCCTGCACCATTGACAGAATCTCTGGCCCAGTCAGAGTTGCCTCTCTCGGGCTTGACCATTCACTGATTATTTTTACAGAATCCTTTTAATAGGGACAGCGTATTTGGGGACTTAGCTGCTCACATCTTTAAAGACTCCAGGGTGTCTTCTGAACTGTTTGCTTTCCTGCCCTAGCAAACAGTATTTGTAGTAGCTTAAAACCAGCTTTTGTAGACTTGTCTGGCAAAAGTGAAAGCATATGAAGTAATTTATGAGGACTGTTGCTGTGCAGAAGGTTTTGGCCTCTGTGCTTTGATTTGGTCTTAGCCATTTATGAAGACCTTGAGTGATGCAGTGCCATCCAGACTGCCAGAGGGTGCCTAGCTCAGGCACCCTTCTCATTCCCTGTCTGGCTTAGAATTCCTGTGTCAAAGTGACCTGCTTGCTCTAGCTTTAGGATGAGAAAGATGTAGTACGTTTGTCTGTTGTCATGGTTAGTAAGCATCAACCCTGATTTTTTTTCAACAGTTGTTGACTGTTGGTAGAATTCTAGTGAGAACATTATAACATCAGTTTTAGAAATCGTCTGGCCTTTGGTGGTTTCAGAGGTGAAAGGACTTATTTATTTTAACAGAAAATGGAGGCACTATGCTCTAGTTAGGATGCTCTATGTGTAAAAGCATATGCTTGGAAATGGTAGTTGAGAATCGATTCAGAAATATTCAAACTTGGATTAAGAAATGTGAGTGCATTCTTCTAATGTGTGCTAAGTTTTCTTTTCACACTATGCAGCTCTTTGTAAAATTGATGGTAGGCATAAAGTGCTTTAAATGCACCCTATATTTCTGTTAAAACAGTTATCTTTAACTATAAGGACAGGCGTGACAAGTGAGGATAATCTTTCATCACAACTCTGTGCCATATTCTAGTATGTGTTTAATTTTTTTTAGATATGTGAATTATTTCATTTTACTTTTTAGCCTTGCTGATGCCTGGGAAAATGATTTTGGAGTTCATCCTTTAAAGTTTCCATCAGAAACGTGTCTGGAATTACTTCTGATGCTGAGTTTGAGTACTGCTTCTTTACCCCCTTCAATTCAGCGCATGAACTCTTTTCAGGTAAGGAGCAGCTGCTGTTTCAGTATAATGGTGTTATTTCTAGGAAGAAGATAGATCCAAGGGGGTCTATAAATGCTTTCAGACTAAAAGTTTGTCTTCTGGAGTTGAGTAACTTTTCATTTTGTTATATACAGCAGTAGAGAATTTCTTTTCGTTCTCAGTTTTTTTTTTTTTTTATTACATATGGACTAAGGCAAGCAGTACCATTGTTTTATTAAATACTGAGTCTCTGTTTAAATGTTTAAAGAAATGACATAAAATTTGCAAACTTAATCTGGAATGGCTAGAATTATTCAACTCTCTTGAAATGCACCGTTACATAAAATTATCTTGTCTTCAAAAATAAATAAATGAAGTCCTCAGCTAAAAATGAAGATTTACAGTGGTGAAAACCAGTCTGAGCAATGGGACTAAGTATGCAAGCCAGTGTATAAAATTAGCAGTGAAGCATTCGGAATTTCATCCTGTTTTCTGTTACTGCTACAGTTCTCACCAGTAGCAAATTTTCCTCAAAAATAATTGTTGCAGGCATGTTAAATTGTGGTTTGTGTGGTCTTAGTATATTTCTAAACATGGACAAGTCTTACAACAGATAGAGGTGTCTAAATTCATCTTCGTGCAACCTATGAACTCAGCTTCTTTTTTTTTGTATGTGATACTGTCTCATGTACATGTATATTCTGTATGAAAATGATACTTGTATTTGAACTGAAAATCATTGTTGAATTGCTTGTTACCCATACGTGGCAGTCTTGTTCAAGAGGAGAGTGGCTTCTAGGCTACTGAATACTGGATTCTGGTGCTAAGGGCACTTGCAGAGAAATGACCCATGGATGTGCCTGAGCTTTCTGCTTTCCTAAATGTTCCCACTCTTAGACACGTGCTGTTGAGCTAAATAGATCACTAGTTTCCACTCAGGCATGTTCTGACACAGCATTTTAAAATGAATCTAACAGGCAGCTGTGTGTGTTGTGATTTGAAAGGTACAGCTTAACTCCTGAGATCCCATTACTAAGCTAATAATACATAGCTAAATGTACCAGCTGCTTATAACTGAGTAGGCAAAAATTATCCACACCCATGTGATGTTTGAGATTGTATTTACTCCATCTCTTGATGGTATTTCAGTGTTGCAGTTTTGACAAGCCAAAATCTTTAGTTGGTATACATTTGCAGTAGGTGTCGTTTAGGTTGTAAAACCCACACAAAGTAAATGTGCTTAGTTGCTAATCATTTCTGTAATAAACTCTGTACTGCTTTGTAAAGCTGCAGAAATGCTTTCCAGGACAAGCTTAACAGACTCCATATCTGTGCTGAGACATAAATTAAATTTTATTTTCAAACACTGTGCTACTGCTTAGTAACATAATATTTGAAATCCCTTTTCATTCCATTTTGATCTTGTGAAGACTTTTCACCGTGATTTACATCACTGGAGCAGCCTGGAAGAAAGAAGCAGCAGCAGGCTGTTCACAGTTCCCTGATTTTAAAGGGGTAGGGCAGCCACTGCAGCCAGCTTTTAGGGTGCCTGTTTCTGCTAGAACAGGCTGTTGATTCTAGATCCTAGAATGCCTTTGTCTCATCTCTCATTTTGCCTGTTCAGTGATAGTAACATTTTCTGGTAGACTGTAGAAAGTCAAATGTTAGGAAGCTTGAGCCCAGAAGCTTTTGAAGGACCAAAATGGTAGACAAGTTCATGTTTGTCAATGGCTGCCCCTCTGTTTTCTAAGAGAACTTTAATTTGCCATCCTCACTTGCAGCTTTGCAGACCTGAGGTCCTACTAGGGTGCCTAGAACCAGGGATTAAGATTGGCTGAGATACCTCGTATTTATCCTATTTATTTATCATATTTATTTAGCAGTGCAGAAAGCAGTAAGAAGGGAATGAGGAACTGGCTACTTGAAATGATTCAAAATGCTCTTAGCTTGCTTTTGATCTGAATCCTTTACATTATATTGAAAACTGTGTTAGCTTGCTCAGTTCTGGATCTCAATCTCTACCCGTCTGAGGTAACATCTCTTGGCTTTAGGACTCATTGGACTTTATGTATTGTCTAAAATACTTGCAGACGCTTGTAGCTGGCATCCTCACTTGAGTTATAATGTGCTTCATCACTGAACTGCTCAGTTGCTGCTTCTCAGTGTAGTCTGGGAAGATGCGTTGGTGCTTTAGAGTATAAAACAAAAAGCAGTTAACACAGGGAAATGCTTTAAAGTGACATGTAATCTCTGCTGTGTTTTCTAACCTTATCTTTCTCTGAATTCAAGCACAGTGAGCAGAAAATGTCTTGGATATTGAATTATTATGATGATACATGGGGCTGCTCAGCACATTCTCTCTCACTGGTGTTACTGTGGGAAGCTAAATGCCTGATTTCCCACATCAGGGCAACGTTCATAAGACTGTAGGCTGCAGCAAGAGTTCTCAGAGTTAAATAGATCACAGTTTCATTTTTATTGTCACAGTTGCATGAAACTGAAAGATTAGACTTTAAAGATGGCAAAGCATTTTAAATTTTTGTTTGAAATAGTTGTTGATATTCTTCACTGCTGTGCCCAGTGTTACCATGAGTTATCAGCACACTGTCTGCTGGAATTGTTTTGCTTCCAAAAAAAAAGGGGTAAAAAAAAAAAAAAAAAAAAAAAAAAAAAAAGGTTCTCATAGTGCCTGTTGAGTTCTGTCATTTGAAATAATTTGGTGCAGAAAACATTCTAAAGTACTCAGTGGTGGTGATATAAAAGAAAAAGTTGCTCAGAAACTATAAAAATTAATGAAAAACATATCCAGTGTAGTTTAATGGCTCTACTATGTGAGAATAAAAAACTCATGGAAGGCAAAATACAAAATTGCTACTGCCTGAGTGCCTGAGGTATACATATTGTCTGAACTAAAGCCTTGACATTCAGTGTTTTCTAAGTGTTGAGACTTACATACGTAAGTTAGGATGTTTCAGGAACAGAGAGTAATTGCAGATGCACCTGTGTTTTCTGACAGTCCTTTTTGAAACTAACTGCCACTTCAATTTAGGAAAATCTGCTCAGCTCCTCCTTTTGTTGCCTTTGGAGTATTTGGAGCTGCAGATGTCACAGATTCTTTTAAGTTGGACTCTGCTCCTCTGGGATACTGTCAAACAGTAGCAAAGAAGGAATAGGGAGATATTCTGGCTCTGGGATATGAAAGATGACAATATCAAGACAGAAGGAAATTCATCTGTCTAAGAAACCAGGAATAAATCCATTTGTACATTGAAATATTTTTTTTTCAAACGTTTTTTAAATTAAGCTCTGTATGACTTGCTTACTCATCTCCCACAAGATGACTTACAGATTTGCAGATGTACATTCTGTAAAATTTTGCACACAATGGCTAGAATCCCAGATCCCTTAAGATTTCTGCAGACAAGTGTTTCTTCATTTTTCTGACTCTCAGTGACTGCTTATGTCTCTGAAATTTGAGTGGACACTGACAGTTATATGGAAAAAACACTGCAAAATGAAATGGAGTAATTTCCCTTTGCAAAATGTAAACTCTAGTGAGTAAACCAAGCTTAGTGTCAGCCTCTTTTGGTGCTCCTATTTCCCCTAGTTTAATGTGCTTTTCTTAATTTAGATTTGGATAAAAGTCCTTGCTGATGTCTTTTTTTCAATTTGGACCAATTTCACTTGGTTGCCAGGATGACATAGGATGGCTTAATTTTGTTTTGAATGCTTGCATAGTTTCTTTAGAAACAATTTTCTGTGCAAAGGACTGGAAAAAAAAACCGCAAAACACCAGCATTCTCCTAAACGTTTGGATTTCATTTAGCATTACATCTGCAAGTAAGTGTTTTATTTTGATAATTATGTGGAAATATATTAAAGATCAATTTTAAACAATTTTTTTTGTAAATAGGAAGCAAGTACCCAAAGCTTAAAGTGCTTGAAAAGCAGATGTTTTCTTTCTAAATACACATACAAGCATTTAATTGACTTGAAAATGAAAGAAGTTATAATGTCTGTATATTACATTTTGATTGCTTGCATTTACTAAATGTCATAATAAATCTGTTTGAAGACTGCAGAGTAATTAGAAAAAGTGATGGTGATTTTGAGGAAATGCTGACAGAAACAAGCAGTAGTAAAAGAATTAGTATTTCAAAGCTAAATTTAAATACTACATTACAAAATGATAGAAATGTCTCGACTCAGTCGAGAGATTGTCTTGTTTTTCTCATCTGCTCATGAATTGTTTTAAGGTGGATTTTATCATGTGGCCAGGCTATTCTGTGTTCACCATAAGCTACCTTTTTACAAGCATCTCTAGAGAGATCTGTGGTATTTCTTGAATACTGAAAATACTGAATCCTTTTTTTTTTTTTTTTTGACAAGCTCTCTCAGAACCTCGAGTTGATTTTCTTTTTTGCTTGAATTGTAGTTATGTACCAGCTTGAAGTCTTCGTTGAACCGTAACCAAAAATATTTCCTACTACTGATTCCTCATGAACTTCATTAACTCAATGTCTCTTACCTGAAAAGTGTTCAACGCAGATGTTCTCCATATACAGGAGCATATTGAGCAGTGTCTTGTGTTTTCCCCTGTATGTCCCTGATGTGACTAATCCGTACCTGCAGGACAGGCAGTCATTTCTGCACCATGGCTTTATGAATTCTGGTGCTGCTACAGAGGTGCTGATGTGAAGGTACTATCCCATTTACCTAAGGTCTGGTATGGCTACACTGCCTCTAATGGAAGGGAGTTGCCCATTTCTTTGGTTTCAGACTAATGGAAATTCAGTCGCATCTAAACCAAAACTAAAACACTGAGCTTACTGGTGGAAGTATAGAATTTTGTGGTTGTTTTCAGTGCTTGGTGATTGAGAGTCAGAACTAAACTGAGATTCAAAATTTGTCATCTGTTTCTTGCAGTTGAATTCACCAGTACAGAAAAAAACAGAAAGGATGAATCTGGGCAGGTTGTACACGGAAGAATTGAGTTTAATTACAAAAACATGAGCCTCCAG